ATAAACTTATAGCTATGATTCCTTATTGTATGTGGAACTGTACTCTAGTGAAGTATTCCTGAGTCAATTTTAAGAAATAAAGTCTATATAAGCTTGTGTCTGGAAATGCTTTATTTCGGAGATACAGAGTGTTGAAATACAGAGAACAAATCATTTTTCGATAAAGATTTCATGGGAGAAGAGTAATTTATTGTGACGAGACCTACCAAATACTTGGTTTTGTTAAGTTCTCAGCAACTTCACTTAGCGCCCTAGGAGCTAAGTAACATGTATCGATATAGAAAATATCTCCAAAACGATAACCTCCAGCGTAATTAAGGCCCTTATAATAATTCCCTTGATACATAAATATCTATTCACTTTTCACTGTTGAATTTTCGCGGTCAGCACCAAAACGCCATTCAATAATATATCACGTTGTAGTTTACTTGCTTTTCTTAGTTTTGTTTTCAAATTTTCAATTTCATTATGTAATTTTACGATCATTGCCTCTTTCCATGATTATTTTGTTTTGTATTTTGTGTGATGATAATAATGGTATTTTGTTCTTGAAATCGTCTGCTCTGTAAATTGATGAAACAGCAGATTTTGAAATCTTCTGTTTGAAAATGGGCCTAAAAATAGATTCATTCTAATCAGATGCTGTAATAAGAAGTGAGTTTCAATGAGTACCTCACAAATTCCGCTCGTCTTCAAATTGATTTTCCACCCCGGTCTTTTCATATCTTCCTTCCATAAGCGAATGCTTGATATTTGATTTGGAAAATCGAATAAATGATATCCATTTGTTTCAAAATTGGCACAATTTATTATACAGCAAGTGATTTCCATAGCTGCTTTCATCTCGAAAGTATAATAATTATGAAATTTTATTTCAATTCTGACGTTTATATAATGAATTGTCAAATTCAAAAAATTTTGAATGAGAAAGCGCCGGACGACTATGGTGCTCTAGTCACAATGCAACTTTATAAATCTAAACATTCAAAAACCCTAACTGTTGTCATTTCTGTGTCCGAACTCTTATCAAACTAATAACATCCAGTGACTCTAGTCTGCCCCTACTTAGGAAATCGTGACGTCAGTTTTTACTCGCGGTTAATCTCTAGCCGTTTGAGAATTACCGTGGCATTATTGATAATTTAAGCCCCTTAAAATCAACCGAAAAACTCTAAAAAAATATGTAATTGAAAGGTATTTGAGAGATGATTCTATTCAAGAAATACCAAAAAAAAATAGTCCACTCGCCTATTCTTGGCTGCGCCCCGGATTACAGAATTCAACTTCATCCGTTATATGCTACATATCGGCCTTGTTACGTTAATAACTACTGGGTGTCCCAAGTTATCGTATACAGGCAATATCTCGCTTATTTGACAAGATAATTGAAAACTCCAGGTACTGAATTGAATGGTATCAAATTACCCTCCTTATGACATATATGAAAAAATGTATTACATTTGATAGTTATCTGGCAGCTATTCTCACTTTTTGTCTTCAAATGGCACCCCCTTTATGTTTTCATTGAAAATTGCATGTCATCCTAAAAGGAATACAACAATAGCATATACTTGGTATTTTTTTATTATTATAACAAAAACAGCAACATCTAATGAAGTAGGAATTTCAACTGGAATATATACACTCACTGGCAAAAAAACGGGCACCAGATAATTTAGCCAAATTGTTTGCTCTGTAACTTTTTCAATTCTTGTCCGATTTTGGTGAAACTCCGACCAAATCGTAGATTCATGTTTCCAAATGTTAGCCTGAATATTGGTTCCTAAGGAAATCTAATGACTCGATCATTATACAGGGAAAAACGAAAGTTACTTTTTCACCCTTAACTTCTTAACGCCCTGTGGGAAAGGTGAGTGGTTCAACTTAGCTTCATTGTGTTTCAGATTGAAGAGTGATCTCTTCTCTCCATGATGATTTTTTATTCACGTCGATAACCACTTTTCAAAGGAAGATACAAGTGTTTCAAGAGAATATAGAACACGAGCTGCTCATTAAATTTTTATTCCTCAGTGATAGGTCCTTCGATTGGTGAGAGGATTATTTTTGGAAACTATCGGACAATTCAAAAACTGCAAATTACGTTTTATTGATCGTATACCTAAACAAACATGAAGAAAATCTTGAATCTAGTACTTAGCTGAATGCCTATTGTCCTGACCAGTCGCCATTACTTCACTACAGTTTTTCTAAAATGTCAGTGCACCACTAAAGTAGTTCTGTTGTCGATGTCTGGTAGGCCCGTAGTTTTGTAAATTTGTAGCTAACTATTATATATGGTACCAAAAAAACTCTCAGGTAAAATCACGTTCAATCTTCGAGTATCACTCTCGATTACATACAAAATGTCACTTCGTATAAGACACGGATACCGGCTTCTTTGCCGTGAACTTATCGAAGTTATTCACGAACGGTGACCACGAAGTTTACTCTCTGGATGGTAGCCACCGTCTGTCTTTTCCCTTCTGATCTACTTAGCAAATTCCGCGCCAAAATACGACGCTTCACCCTTCGTTTCCATTGGTCAGCTTGTTCGCCTGGAAACATCCGAAATGTTCTAAAACCACGAGCGCTCACCAGTTGCTCCCATCCACTTCGACACTTTTATCAAATTGTGCGTATCCACCAAATACTAACCTAAATCTATCTTATAATAATACTGTGAAATTATGGACTTGGTACAGTATGAATTTTTAAAGTTTTTATTTACAATAATTCAGAACCATTCTCAAACCTTCTGCTTCATCATGTTTTAAATTGAAGTGTGATCCTCTTCCTTCTTCATACAACGGTTCTTGAATAACGTCAATATCTCCTTTTTGAGAAAAGATACAAGTGTTTCAATAAAGTATAGATTTTTTAAATTTTCAATAACAATAAGTCAGAAGGTCTTTGAGTTATGTGGTCAGAACCTATCTACCGATCTTAGGGGTGACCTCTAGAGGCTCATTCGCCTTCGCCCAGCCTTGTCAGATACTCTTCAAGAGCTACGATTTGCCCTTCGAGGAGGATTTTAGGCAATTATTCAAGGCTACTTGAGTAATTTGATCAATTCGATGCCACTGGGGTTGAATGTTGTGATTCAATATCGAGGAGAGCATACTCGTTATTGAGTACAGGTCTGCTTCTTGTTTGTTTTTTGTAATCAATTTTCCGGTAAGTGCTAAGAAAGTGAGGTAGAAGTCTGTGATATTAATCCTTGGAGTTGTTAATCAATAAGTTCATGTAAGTTCTGATTATTAGTGAAAAAGTTGAAAAACGCCATACTTCCTTAAAACACTCGTATCTTCTCTTAATAATAAGATATTGTCGTGAATCAAGAACTTTTGTGTTGAGAAGGGATCACACTTCAATCCGACGCATAATGAAGCCATGTTCAATCACGCAATTTCGCCACAGGGTGTTGAGAAGTATAGAGTGGAAGAGTAACTTTGGTTGTTCCCTGTATAATGATCAAGTTATCAGCTTTTCAGGAAAACTAATATTTAGGCTAACATTCGGGAACATGAATCTACGATTCGATCGAAATTTCACAAAAATCGGACAAGGATTAAAAAAGTTACAGGCGGAACAATTTGGGCAGATTTTTTGGTGGCCGGTTTATTTTGCCGGTGTGTATTTTATGCGAATCAAAAAATGAACTAAAAATCACAGCAAAGCATCAGCTTTTTGAAGCGATAAACATGAGTTGAGGCAATTTTTCATTTTCATAAGGATAATAATTAAGTAACATGAAACAAGTCACAAAATGTTGATGAAAATGTCAGGTTTGAAATACAACGATAGCGCATATCTTTGTATTCCAAATTGAATGACACTTAATGTTCAATGATCATTTACAGGGGGTGCCATTCGAAAATAAAAAGGGAAGGGGTATCTGCCAGGAAACTGACAGATGTAATAGATTGTTTTATATGTCACTAGGAAGGTACTTCGATGCCATTTTTATTTATTTTTATTTATTTATTGAACAAATAACTTCCAGACAGAATAGGCTCTGGTATGAGGAAGTACATAATTATATACCTATAGGTAAACATATCATTATACAAAATATATCAACAACTGTAAATTGACAAACATAGAATAATATTTGTAAAAAAAATGGCATGTTCAATTTTATCCAGTTCGCTCAGAAATAATCAATTTTTTCACTTCATTTTTGAATGAACCTATATTTCTGCAATTCTTTATATTGTCAGGTAGTTTATTGAATCCAGTTAAGGCTGAATGAGTGAATCTATTTTGTCCGATTATGGAGCTAGCGGCGTCAAGATGAAACAAGTTATATTGTCTTGTTTCATGATTATGAATTTCAGAATTCCGTATCAACATAAAATTTGACTTCAATTTTTTATTTATGATATTATATGATATTTTGAGAGTTTCAATTCTATATATTTCATCTAAAAAATACGTATTTGTTATTTCAAACAATTGATTGGTTGGTGTATCAAATGGGAGACGATACAATACTTTTAACGATTTTCTATATAATGTTGATATTTTATTGAAATTGTTCTTTGAACAAGTTCCCCAAACATTTATTAAATAGTTGATACGACTCAGTATATGAGAGTAGAGAATCATGTTTGCAATTTTAATATCAACTAGGCTCTGGAATTCATTGCCTGTGGAAGTGTTCCCAACAACATATAATCTCCAAAAGTTCAAAAAAAATTCCAATACCTACCTCCTGTCCCTATCCTCCCTAGGAACGCACGATGTTCTTTGAACATTATAGGGATTCCCTCTCGTGCGCTCCAAGCGATAAAAAAAAAAAAAAAAAAAAAAATTGGAGATATTTTTTTTGTCAGAACATCAATATGTTTGTCCCACTTCAACCTGTCATCAAACCAAATTCCAAGATATTTTATCAATGCAGTATTCGAATTTTTCAATTATTTTGTCGAATAAGCGAGATATTGCCTGTATACGATAACTTGGGACACACGGTATATCATCAACTTTAACAATACTAGGTACATCACGATTCCGAAGTCCGTCACGAAATCGAGGATCGAAGAGAATTTCAGCATTTGGGATTTCAGCCTGTATCGGACAGACGTGGAATTGTTGGATGGTCTGAATAGAGACTACAGATATTGCGCTTATCCAGACGCGTGTACTCATAAGGATCATCCATTCGCCAAGGACGAGTATTGAATGAAATTCAGTCGATGTGGACCGTTTCAAGTTGATATTATTAAATTCAGGTGAAAAGAAAAATCGGGATTATATTTCTTATTTCTCGTACACGAGTCATTGTAGAGGGATTTCTACAACTCTACGAAGCTCAATTCAGCATTCTCTTGAGCACTCATTCCACGAAATACCTAATTCGATTTTTGAATAGTAGTCAATGCATCAGATAAAGCTCACCTCAATATAGACCATTTTACGCTGAGCGCTGCTCTTGACATATTGGATATCATCATTTGTTTTTTCTTCAATGGCTGCATTGACGATTCTGTTATTTCACAAAATGTTTAAATTCTGTCACGTTCAGTGCGGTCATGTCAACACAATGTCAGTTCGAATTTCAATCTGAAATTTCGAACTTCTGATGAAATTTGGACATAGAAAAAAAAAAGGATAGTCTGGATAAAAAATATGTGTGATCAACGCATTAGAAAGTACTTCTGAAATAAGCAAAAAATCATCATTTCATGAGTTTCCAAGAAACACTCACGAAAGAAGGAAATGTATAATAAATAGTATATTATGTAACAAGTGTTATAAATGCCCTTTTAGTAACGAGTATGTTGAGCACGAGCGCAGCAGAGCGGAGCGAGTGTTTAATAAACGAGTGTCTAGAAGAGTTTATAAACGCGTTACATACCATACTTTTTCTACGAACTCATAATTCCCCTCTACGACAAAATCATGTACAGTGTGTCCAGTTTTCTATGCATTTGCCTGATATCTCAGTTATCTTTGGAGATAGAACCTTGCGGTTTTCGCGGTCCTGTGCCACTTTTTTGTGAAACTCAAGATGGCCTAATCAGATTTTGCAAGACTGTTTCCGTTTATGAGATACAGGGCGATTTTGAAAATTTATATTTTTTGGACCCCCTCTATATCTACGAAGTTTATCAGCGAAAATGTCAGATTAAAATATGAGATATCATGCAAAAGCATCGAGAACTGGACACACTGTACATAATACTATGCAACTTCATGCAACCAACGAGACACGTATAAGTGGAATTAGTTGTAGATGTATCCAGGTTAGAAAGGATACATGAATGGCTTGCTTACTAACCTTTGTGAATAAGAAGCTTTCATCTGACGTAGAAGATAAAAACTCTTCGATTCGTTGAGGTATCAAAGTTTTCTTCTGATTGCATAATTTTGCCATAAACATCATCGTCTCATACGTTCATTGTCATTTAGCATACTAAAGAATGAATTGCGCACAAAGATGAGAACTTCATTCGTACACAGAGTTATTGGAAATATGCAATTACCTAAAACATTTTCTTCGATTTCACTTTCGTCTACATTTCGCATACATTTTCAAAGAAGAATTGTGATACAGACAGAAATTGTTCGAATAATTCTGATTGCAACAAAATTCTAAAATGACAGTTGACCGTTCCTACAATTGACAGGCCTTAAACATCCCATATCCACCGCTGTGTAGCATCGGAAAGGATCCATTTTGTCGTCTCAAATATTTCCTCATATTATGGTTATTATCTGTGGAACTATCAACACCATACTGTCTTTACATTCATTTTACTTGATTATTTGAGATTTTCTTTCCTCGTTTCTATAAAATAAAAATATGAGTATTATATACCGGGTGACCAGTTATATTCTGACCCATTTCAACTGCTCATATCTCTGAAACTATTCAAATTATCGTTGTGCGGTTTGGACTTCTCTATTTTGATATTCTTCAAGTTTTTTGACTGGTTCACCTTCTCACCTGAACTTCTGGTTCTACCGGAAACAAATAAGCCATTATTCAGGTATAGGGCAACTTCGATAACATTGCATAATCTCATTAAATCATTTCACAAGCAGTTGTTGTTTCAAAGGGTTATAACTCTAATAGTTCTCTAGGAAAACATAACTTGTCATACATTGTTAGATAGAGAAAATACCAGTCTCTCTGAATGTGCAAAAATATACAGGGTGATTCAATGAAATAAAAAAGTTGCCCTATACCTGGATTATTGCTTGTTTGTTTCCGGTAGAACCGGAAGTTCAAGTGAGAAGATGAATAAGTCAAAAAAAGAACTTGAAAAACATCAAAATAGACTAGTTCAAACCGCACAACGATAACTTGAATGGTTTCAGAGATATGAGCATTTGAAATGGGTCAGAATATAACTAGTCACCCGGTATTTCGATATATGTGTAGTAGGACAAATCTGATGATTTGCCCCAAAATGTCACTGCGTTCAACAAATTTCTCTATCATGAAAGAAAAATCCAATAGCCTGTCAAATGACATTCTGTTTGGAAAAACGTTTGAAGAAAAGAAATATTAGTTATTTAACCAACTAGTGTATTAATGAGGGCGATTAATGATCGAGATATTTTAACGTGCGAGCGAAGCGAGCGCGTTAATGTTCGAGATCATTAATCGCCTTTTAATATACGAGTTGGTTACAAAATTTTTCCGTCGACTATATTTCCCATTTCTCCTGCAATGAAGAAAACTTGGTTCGCGAATTCATCATTCATCCGGAAACTACTAAGAATCACCCAGTAGCCTTGTTACTGACATTAGTGACATTTGACATTTGTCGAAATGATCAACATAGAAAATAGATTCCTTGTGTTAGAAAACAGGGATTAAAATCGTTTCAGAAACTTGGAAAGGCGAACCCGTTAACGGAAAATCTTCGATGAAATCCATATTTTCGATTTAAATGCAGATTCCGTAAGTTATATCATAAACAATGAATGCACGCGGTGTATGTTTGGTTGCCTATAAAACAATCGTGCATTAATAGACAAATTGATCATTAATAGGGGTCATTAATGAACGATTTCATAAACATTAAACTTACTCGTTAATACGAGGTCGACGGAAAAGATATATATTGAAATAACATCGAATTTTTGTTTATCTTTGGACGTTTCAGGAATGAATCTGCTCCCGTTCTCATAATGAAATCGTAAAAATATTTTCTTCGAATGTTGTGTTCTTATAGTTTGACACTTCTCAGTGACATACTGATGTTGGCATTATGAATGGTTGATGTTAGTATTTAAATGAGTTACAGGGTGTTTTCGTTGATTGATCTTGAATCTACCATTTTCATGTTCAGTTTTCAGTAGTGAATACCATGTTCTATCTATTTATATCAACCGAACAGAAAGCAATGCAATTGTCTCCGTTCAAAAGAATGTTATCTTACTTTCCTATGATTTTAATATCATTCCACTCAGCGATATGTTGTCCATTCTCAGTAAGGATATGTTCAGTTAGCTTTTGATTTTTGTTCTTTCGTCCTTACTGAGAGAGGTATCTTCGTTTCACCTGCATAATACTTCATATTATAATACCTATAACAAATTTCACTGCTCTTTATGAGCCAAAGTGCGTATGTTATGTCATTTTAGGCAGACTGCCCTACTATTCATTTATGGGTGGAGGGGTATAAGTTTGGTTAGATTAAAGGTCTTATCGGTGTACACACATTAAAGGATCGATTTCTTGTCGAAGGAACTCTGATCCCATGATACTAACTAATAGCTTAATAAACACTAATATCTTATCGAAGCTTTGTTAGTCGGCACGCGATTTAACAATTTGACCCTATGTTGCGGTATATCAATTTACCAAAAATACGTTGATATCATTTGTTTTTTTCGTACGTGAAAAACGAGAAATCGATCTTGGCAACGGTTACTGAGTCTAATTTACGCCACACACCTATTCAATATTGATCTTTCCATGAATAGTATTTGATATAATAATTAATAATGACAATAATAATATCTTTATTTCTCAAATTGAAAAGTACAGTTGTTGCAATGTTGTTACAATGTACAGTCGTATTCAATAAAAAAGCGTGCAAGTATTGAAAAGAGAGGATTTCGGGATCCTAGTTCTAGTTGTGTAAAACTGGCTCAGCCAATAATAATAATAATAATAATACTAGTTCATTCAAAAACGTTTACAAAATATACATATAGGAATATACAGATAGGTATTTTGAAAGAACTGGAAAAAACCTTACGAAGCGAACCTTGTAGTAAGGATAAAAAAATCAAATGTACAGTCGTATTCAATTAAAAAGCGTACGAGTGTTAAAATGAGAGGTTTCCATAATTCTTGCTTCTAATATAATTGACGTTTTAAACGTCCAAAATTTCGAGTTTTCTGTAAGAAAATATATTTTCCGTCGACCTCGTATTAACGACTAAGTTTAATGTATATGAAATCGTTCATTAATGACCCCTATTAATGGACGATTTGTCTATTAATGCACGATTGTTTTATAGGCAACCAAACATACACCGCGTGCATTCATTGTTTATGCTATAACTAGCGGAATCTGCATTTAAATCGAAAATATGGATTTCATCGACGATTTTCCGTTAACGGGTTCGCCTTTCCAAGTTTCTGACACGATTTTAATCCCTGTTTTCTAACACAAGGAATTTATTTCCTATGTTGATCATTTCGACAAATAATGTCAAATGACACTAATGTCAGTAACAAGGCTACTGGGTGATTCTTAGCAGTTTCCGGATGGATGATGAATTCCGCGAACCAAGTTTTCTTCATTGCAGGAGAAATGAGAAATATAGTCGACGGAAAAATTTTGTAACCAACTTGTATATTAAAAGGCGATTAATACACTAGTTGGTTAAATAACTATTCTACCAACTTTAGTAATCAAGAATAATAGTTTGAAATACCACAAGCTGCGTTATTGATATTTTGCGTAACCAAAGTCGCTATTTCATATCTTATTTAGCGTAATCTCCTCGTAGTATTTTATAAAATGTCGATATGAAAGTTTTTTTACCGAATTCCATACTATAATTCAACTAAAAATCAGAAATTATTTCTCGTCATCGACTGGTGAAAATGTTCAAAACATTTCTGTTCTAGAAAAAAACTTCCGGTAGAAATTGATTGATTGTCTTCATTACCCCAAGAAAAATTATTGTTTATACTAGGGATATATACAACAAAACATATATAACATGATAAATGAAAAATATATAAATAAAAGGAACATATATTATAACCTATTCCGAGACCCATTCCAACTAGTCAAATCGTGAATGATTAGTAGATTTGGAATTCAAGTTTACTGAGCAGATATTTCTTTAAATTGATTCTGAATATTTCTGCTTCTTTTATATTTTCAACTCATGAGTTAAGGAGTTATATCAAAATATTCCACTATGGAATATTGATTGTTCACCAAAATTTGACTCATAACATGACTTCATTAAAATTCAAATTTAATATTTTCAATTCCTTCATGACAAAATGTATAAAACAACGAATTTTGAGTTTATATAATGAAACTAGATCCTTTAGTATTGTATAGATTTATAGTTGAATCTAGGAAAGGTAAATTGACAAATTATAAGTGAAAATTCACATCGAAGAATTATAACTCTCTATACTAAGGAGAATACTCGGGAGAATAGGGCCATCTGCAGGGAATAAAGAGAAACAGAACAAGGAAAAGAATATCCAATTTTATTATGAATACATCAATTCTACAAGGAGAAATATCACTGCAAATAATGTTACTTTTCGTTTTCTCAATTTCGGTTCTTCAAATTTCTCGCTAAACAAACATACTGTTGTGTTGTCTTGTTTCGATCGATGCCTAGGAAAGAGCATCAGACTCATACGATTTTGACGCACATACACAGACTCGTTCAAATTAGTGGGATAAAATACTATGGTAATTGCATGAAATGATCATCCTCTTCTGGATCGATTCCAAGTTGGTAGTCGCTGCATTCGTCGAACTCTTCTCTTTGGATATCCAAGAAGTGATTGATTTCCAGTAATTTGTACCTGTTTCTCTTGATCTCATCCTTAGTCAAACCGGTGCAGAACGATTCCAACCATTGTTTGGCTCTTCCAACCAAGGTGTCTTCTCTAAAGACAATACATAGTATAAATACGTTCATCAACATATTTTGGATGCCTGTATCAACCAATGATCCGATGATATTCCAACTCATGGACATTTAGAAAGAGGGAAGACGAAATTGTCTACATTCTCTCCCGATCTAACATATAACATAACATATAATGACAAATTTCTGCGGATTGCCCTAGATCTAACGCCTGTGTTCGAATACCAGGGGAGTAACATGTATTATATGAAATTTATATTGTTCGTGTATTATTTTTCTGTTTGTTCCTCGATTGAAATTATGTGAATTCTCTTATCAAAATATTGTGAATTTTACTGATTTTATCATTAAATGAAATTATAATGTATTATGGAGATAACTGTGGCAACGCTGTATTGCCGTGTTCACAACGAGTTACGCATATTTTTCTTGAATTCATTCATTTATGTCAAAAGCCGACGTTACAGTGATGTTGTTCTGTGTTTGTTACCATTTCAGGACTATTTGTGTTTGAATTGATTTTCAGTGTTTTCTTGTTATAAAACTATAAAGAGAATAATTAACAATTTACTACAGTTCGCCAGTGCGTGGATCGTAAAAAAGTTCACCATTCAAACCCCAAATTGCTATTTCGACGGTAAGTTAGGTTATGCCTTTTTTTCAACTTTCTGGTGTAGTGATTTCAAGTTGTTTAACTGAATTATTGAAAAACGATCAAAGTATGGTATAAGTACCTAAGTTACTACCAATATTTGGTATTGAAATTAACAGATTTGACCCAAACATTTTCTAATGGGTATAATAGTGTTGTCCTGGAATACTGTTCCCATATCTGTAGTGCAGCACCCAAACATACCCTGAAACTGTTGGATTCTGCCCAAAAAATGGCAATTCGTCTCGTGGGTGATGCCTCGCTCACAAACTCACTCACATCTCTGGAACACCGTAGAAAAGTTGGCAATCTGGCTATATTTTATAGATATTTTCATGGATGATGCTCTTCTGAAATATGAACAATTGTTCCTACCTTGGCAGTCCCCGCGAGATTTTCCCGTCGAGTTGAGGCTTCGCACCCCTTTTGTGGTCACCTTGGAGACCTGTAGAACATCTCTCTCCAAAGACTCGTTCATTCAACGAACAGCGAGGCTCTGGAACACATTGACGAGGGAGGTGTTCCCTTAGGTATATAACCTCCAGAAATATAAGAAGAACACCAATTCCTACCTTATTTTCCTTGGTTCTCACGATGTTCTCTGAACATTACAGGATATCCCTTTTCGTGAGAACCACAACATAAAAAAAGTAAAGAGGAAAAGTGTGAACATTGACACAGTTTACAGCGTTGCCATTTTTAAGCTATCTCTTTCTAACTCATTGGAAACTTTTTGAGCTATGTATGATGTATGATGAATCAAAAACAACATAAGACTCTTAAGAGTTAGACGCAAGAGACCAGCTGATGTTTAGTAAAATTGGGAAAACATTTCGCAATGACATGCTACATAATGAACTTATTCAGTATTGACATTTCAACTCGATAAAGAAAAATGCCGATCGCTTAATTGCGCCTAAAGAAAGAATTGACATTACCTATGCAATCTTAACTTGCGTTTGGATGAGAAACATGAGGAACGTCGTTATCGAAGATATCCAAGAAACATGAAAAAAATAATAAACATATGCAGAAGGGGAGCAGGAGGAAAAAAGGAGAGGGGGTGGGAAGTGAAGAAGGTAGGAAAGAAAGGAAAGGAGGCAGCGAGGAAAAATGGGTGTGGGAAGAAGAGAAGGAAGTGGGAAGGAACGGAGGAAAGGGAAAAGGAATGGAAATAAGGAGAGGAGGAAATTAGGAGGGATTTCCCAGCTACAGCAGATCTAATTTCAATAGTCAGAGAGTCTAGAAGTACTCGTTGAAAACTTCGTTTGCGACTTGAACAAAAAGTGTGAAAAAGTTGATCTTTCAAAACGGAAATTGTGCGAAAAAGTTCGTGAGTGTATACAGGGTTATTCGATGTAAATATTTCAAGGACATATTGTTGGGACCAGAATAAGACTTATTCTTCATGTAAATATGTGTCTTGAAATGCACCTTCTTCGAGCAATGACCACTGTAAGATAGGTTAAGAAAAAAGGATTATCTGAAATTACGACTAAGATAATCAAATCTTCTGGAAATAGGCATGCCCCTGTCTTTTCAGACCCTTCATCTCCTTCTTGCTTCAACAATGATGTTAACACAGTTTTGGGGGAGTTGGAAGAGGTCCACACTTTTATTGGCCCTAAATTTTATGTTTAAAAATAGAAACTTTGACTTTGAATAACATCATCCTGTGGGCAATAAAAGAATGTGAGAATTCGGTCTCCTGCACTAACCGTTTGCCAGAAAATCGTAATCAACGAAAGGGGAAGTCACGACAAAGAATGGGTTAAACGCTTGCTTACTGAGACTGCTATTTCAGAGGCGTGCAGTGATAGAATACTTGCAGTTGATCCGTTATTATGATCAGATATTCAGATAATCTCTTTTTTTCCACCACTAAATCTAAAACCTACCATTATTTACTCCTTTTCAGGGCGTAAAGTGTGTTTTCACTACCAAGCTGGGGCCTCCTGTGTAATTTATTTTGCAGTCGCTGTTCGCTAAATCATTGTTTTAACTTCGCCCAATACCACTGGAGATCGATGGAATGAATTTGTTGGCGCCCAACGAGAGGGGTTAGCTGAAAACTATTTCAGAATGTATATGTTCGTCAAATACGTTACTCATTTGTGTTGGCGCCCAACGAGAGGCGTTATATGAAAACTATTTTAGAATGTATATGTTCATCAAATACGTTACTCATTTGGTATGCGATTGGAAGAGAACGTATGTTCGATACCTTGAAAATCTCAATGTGACACCTTCACCGGGTCCACATGCACTCAAATGCTCCAGATATTCATGTTGCTGCCTGCAATTAAACATTTTAGATCGATGGAATGGTTGCGACCGAATAGGTATTCCAATTATTACGATGTAAGGGCAGAACGTTCCGCTCAATACCTTAAAAATTCTAATGTCACCTTCCAACAGAACTTTGAATAGATGGAATCAATCGAGAAGTTGAACAAAATGCTCAGCTTCTGAAAGGCCGTTAGAAATAATTTGGCGCCCAACGTGGGGCTCAGCTGAAATCGATTATACAGTCGCTATTCGCTAAATGAACGTTTCAATTTGTTGAAGGTTACCACGTCCAATACCATAGTGGATTAGTGGAATGAATTTGTTGGCGCCCAACGAGAGGCATTAGCTGAAATCTATTCAAAATGTATGTTCGTCAGATAGGTTGCTTATTTGGTATGCGATTATTGGAGAACGTACGTTCAATACCTTGAGAATCTTAGTGAGACACCTTCACCGGGTCCACGTGCAATGCTTCAGATATTTGTGTTGCTGCCTGCATTGAAAATTTCAGATCTTCTATGAGATCAATGGAATAAATTTGCTGAAATCTATTGTACAGTCGCTGTTCGCTGGATGAATGTTTCAACTTAAGGAAGGTTACCCACGTCCAATACCACTGAAGATCGATTGAATCAAATTTTTGGCGCCCAACGAGAGGCGTAAGCTAAAATGTAATTTGGAGTTGATGCAACCAACTTCAACAGAGTCCACATGCACTATAAATGCTTTAGATATATAACTGTCATCTTCTGAAAATTCCACGACGTATATGAAACTATCATCTCCTGCGATATAAGAACCAATCAGAATAGGCCGGTTTCAGTAACAAATTTCATTTCATAATTTTGAAGTGATAACCCAAATTTGCTCACTGTTGCAAACCGGTTTCTGCTGAGAGATTTGTACATTTTTTGAATAAATATTGAAATTCAGGATATTTCATAACATGAAAAACGCGGGACAACGTGCGACGTTTTTCATGAATCACTAGTCTATAAAGGCAGATCCACCTCTGTTATAATCAACCCGAATTCACTGTTCTTATGCGAGATTCGCAGAAATGGCACTGGAATCTAGTTGGTATTTATCAATAACGACATGCTGTCATGCTAATGGCAACTAGATTTTGATTAGAATTGAAAAGGAGTGCTTTTATAGTGTCCATAAGTTGATATTTCAGTTTCACGAAACTAAAATGATTGAAATATATTGCTAGTGGTGAAAAATAATTAATATACACCTTGGTATAGTAAAGAATAATATTAGTACGGGATCTTATACCCCTCGGATGGAGCCTTGGGATATAATCTTGGTCCCTGGGTGATACTGATATTCCTCACTACCTTGGTGTATAGATAACTAGTTATTTTATTACCCAACCGACAGTGGCTGTATCTCAGAGGAGGTGCATTTAACGACACATGTTTATATGAAGAAAAAGTCTCATTTTGATCCCAACACCTTGTATAGCAAAACCAAAACCTCACCTGTTATCGATGATCTGCAGATGCATATCGTGAGTGCTGGCGATGGCGTTGTTGAGGAACTCCTTGTCCGCCATGATAGGTCTCAACACCTCCGGAATGAAGAAGGACTCGCCTAGGTTGGCCTGCGTGATGTACCTCGCCCCTATGTCGGCCAGGTTCTCGGTGTAGGTCACTTCGAGGGCTCGCATCTGGGTGAAGAGGGCTTGGGCTTCTTCGATGAACGCGTTTATCATATCGGCTAGGTTCAAAGAGCGGAAAAAATTGATGATGAGAGGAAATAACACCGAAAAAATTCAAGGGGTGATTCCTTGTGATATTTTAGGAAATTGAGTTCATATAAACATGTGCCCTAACTTGCTCTGTTTTTGAGATACAGGATGTTGAAATTGGAAGCAATAATTGTTTTTATTTCTTAATCCCCCTTTATAAGCTCTCATGATGCCAAAATTCAGTATAGTTGGAGACTGAAAAAGCCCAGGACTGGCACGAATTAATTCATATGAATTAAGTCAGTGATTTGATTCGTGAATTAATTCAAATGACTTTTTTCAAATAAGTCGTGAATTAATTCAATATTTATCAAATGGGAACAAATCTCATTATTACCTACAATTTGAACTAATTTAAAATTGAATAACCGATGGCATCTGACAACTGACAGCCGGGAAGCACCCACACGCAGAAAACTAAATTTTCTTAAGAGCCGCTCTACAGTTTACAATATTTCGTTGCATGCAATTGATTGCTCTAATTCATATTTCCGGCAAAAATGATATGAAGACTATTCAACACTGAATCGGAATGGGCGTGTACACCTTATAGTAGAACTTTCAACTCAAACCATGTTTATAATGATCCTTTTATACATAAATAATGATTGACGACATAATTCGATCGAAAAATTAACTGGAATGTTTTATTTTTGGACATAAATGATAGTACCTTCTGGAAACGGAGACCCTCTTATGACGTAGAAACCCCATCTCGCCATATATATATATATATATAAACCATATATATCTACTACTGATATATGAATCATAGCTCTCCTCAAAGCGGGGCCCATTTCTGTCTCTATAGGTAATGAAATTGACCAATAGGCGTTGATACCGACGTAGGGAAAAAATAATAGGAAATTTGTCAAACCAATATGGCTGTTTCCATCCTTCACTTTTCGTTCTCATAGATTCAAAGAGTACCTCTCATTTTGGTCCCATTTTTGTTGAGATATCGTATAGGCGATGCGCCATATATAGAAATAGTAGATAATTATATGGTTGAAACTGACAACTGACACTCTCCTGACACTTATTACTGTTGCCATATCATCCAAACAAAATATCCGAGAAATCGAAATCGATATTGAAATATCTTTTGATATCCACTACCACTACTGCAGAAAAATATATTCGAGTTGTCGATTGTAGATTGAATCATTGGAGTATAAACAATCTCTAGACAACGAAATGTCTCAATCTCAAAACCATTTGCACCATTACAATTTCACAATAATCCAATATATTTCATAAACATAGCAACATTGCTTTGTTGACCCGTTTCACATGGAGCTGCAAAAAGTCAATCTAGGTTAGAATTGATTTGTCAGAAATCATGTATCATTCATCTCTGTCTGGAATAGTCTTGTTTCAGTATCAGGGTTTTGACGTCACATCATCGCCTCGTTTTCAGAGGTCCGAAAAATCGGGGATTTCAATAATTTTTTATAAAACGTAGGGAGCTCACAGCAAGAAACGGTTTGCGGTGGTGAGCTAGTTTGGGTGAGTTCTATCGAATTATGAAATAAATTTTTTTTGTGATATAAGCCCATTACCGGCTTGCAATGTCTTTTTGTCATAGATTCTTTGTAATACTTGTGGAGGATGGAAGATGCGAGGATCCTTTATCTGAGCGAAAAACATATTCTTGTCCTTGTCTCGCAAAACATATGATTTGCTTCAAAATCGTTTGTGGTTATGTTTGATTGTCACTGCTTGTCTAGTGTCCGTACTCTAATATACAAAAAACGTCAAAACAGCAGTGTCAAGAACATTTAGGAACTCTAATGTTGAGTGGCGGCGCATGTTTCAGACTGATAGGAAGTCCATCATCATGAGAATATTGAGATATTTACGTGACCAGTTAGGAAACGCGTCATTTTGAACTGAACTATTCATCACAAGTTATGTAAGATATTTCATAACTTTTCTCAGTTTTGAAAAGTGTCAAATTATATATACACCCGAGGTGGGAAGAGATTCATTCCTGTCGTGAGATTAGTTAGTTAACCGAGACGCAAAGCGTCAAGGTCAGCTATGATTTCGGGACAAGAATGAAACTTCCTACCGAGGTTTGTATAATATTTTATAATACAACCATCGTATTTCGATCAAAATTGATAAATCTCTGTTTCGTTCTGAACATATACCTAAAATATTACATGAGTGAGGGTGGAGGGCGGGAAGTAGAGGTGTGTAATGTGACACTTCCCAACCTCCAATGAGTCCAATGACGTTGAAAATGACAACATTACATATATGGTTGTAAATATAGAATATTACTTGGCATTTTCAAGATACCTATAGCTCAGATGCAACTATAAGTAATTACTTTTTTTTACGAGAGTTCAGTGTAAGCTTTTGTGAAAAAGTTCTACCGGAGAAACCGACCTGTTTCAAACTAGAACAATATACACACCTGGCATAAATAATTTTCCTTTAGATAAACCGTGCGCATGGGTATTTTATCGAAGATAGTAAAAAGCGACGTTGCCGTACGCTTAGCATCGAACGAGTATATTTCTCGGCCCGATCGGAAGGGATTATCGTTTGCCACACGTGCCATACTCAAGTAGGAGGGGCAACGACGGTTGTACACCATTTCTCTATGGGAAAATTATTCTTGCCAGACGAGTATGTATATTATATTTTTTGTTTTCTGATAAAAAATAGAAGAATAATAATATTTGGTTCGTGAAAATTCTAAGGTTTGTGCATAGACCCAGAAATTGAAGAGTTTCGAAATTGAACATCAGAAACTAAATCAATGCTTATCATGTCACGTTCTTCAATGTGCTATACAAAAAATGCATTGAGAATAATGAAAATGATTTACGTAATATGTATTGATTCGTTTTGTCATTCAAGCTAATACATTTTTATAAGCTGTACAAATTGGGTAGTCCATTTTGCATTTTGCCGAACCCGTATTTGGGTTATGATATTAGGAACCATATTTGAGTTCATTAATTAGTAATCTGTTTCATATAAACGGGGCATAAATAATTCATTTTCTGTTTTTCATCCATTATTCGAAAACAACAATTTCATTCCATAGTTATTCCACGAATCAAAATTCTAACCACAAACAACAATTTCAATATGGTTGAACCTGACTATGACAGTATTACGTCGGATCATCGGTATATAATTAATTTTCATATTCTGTGAAACTTCCATATTTGTATTGACTAATAGAACATATTGGTCCAAATTGTTTCAATGCTTTGATGTCCATGGCCCATGAAAATTGACAAAAATATTATGAATATGTAGCTGCAAACGCATACTGAAATAGCTTTTTCAATTAATATCAATATCGGCATTTGAAAATAAATGCACCTGTGATAATATAATGAACTGATATCATGGGTATTAGTATTTTCGATGCATGTTCTACTTGAGTTGAAACTCATTAATATTTCAATTGAATATTATTTCTCGAGGATATTAACCATTATATTAACAGAAATGGAAGAAGTCTTTTGGTTATTAGTAAACCAATAATCTAAGTTCACGATCCGGCTGAAGATTACAGTTATTATTCATGACACAAAATAACTAATAAAATTTCGAGTTTTACACAACAATTCGAATAGTTAATTTCCTAACTAGTGCGATCATTGATACTCTCCCGAACGCTATTACCGTTTCACCAAACTAAATGCCAAAGAGTTCGGTAATTAATTCAGAACAAGAATTAAAACACTTCTCGTAGACTCAGGAAAACGTTTAATTCACGTATCCTTGAATAGATTCAACGTTCATAAGTCGATATAATTATTCTCTAATATATTGACAAGTATTGATTGGTTGCCATCGAAAACTAAAATTCAAATGTTATCGAAAATCATTGTTTTTGACATAATCATACCATTGTCAAAATTGATCAATAATAATTGATTCACCATTTGTAAATTTTCATAAGTAATATCTGAATATTCGAGATAATTCTGTCGCTTCATTGATCATGTGATTGTTGACGAAATTGTGTTGCCGAGCAACACCACGAGTCTGTCAGGACGTCTCTTCATAAAATTCCCAGCTATTCATTGAGAAATTAATGATTCAGACAAAATAGGCCGTTCACTGTGATTGAAAATAGCCCTTTTTACATGACTCAGTATATCAAATAGCACTTCCTCTCATCTATTGATTTCTTTACAACCGTTTAATTTATACTTCGAAAGTGCTACAAATTGAGAGACTTCCAAACGACCAATTTTCGCGGTGTGGATGATTTTCCATAATGCTAACTTAATAGCTTCATGCTTTGGTATGTTTTTAAAAAGTTTGTCACTTTCCTCTATTTGTATTGTCATTTATCATCTTTTTACAGGTACTTTTTTGCCTGATGATGGCCGTTGCGCCGAAACCGGTTACATGTATATTTTAATATTTTTTATAAAGTGTGGTCGACCGACTTTGAGATGTTTGGTGTTTTTCTTTTGAAATTACTTTGGACCACTTTGAGGTATGGATGATTTTCATGATTTACCTTTATAAAATATCCATCGAAATTACGAGAATGATTGTGAAATAAAATGAAATAATTTGGAAATGGCATGTTCACACTTACTCATAGTATGCTCGAAATTCTGATTGACTTCCTCCACTTGTTCGAAAAGCTGAAGCTCTAATTTCATCAATTTTTTCCACGTGTCGTGTATGAGTTCGTTGTGTATCTCGTTGAATTCTTCAATTTTCTGCGTATATTTAGCCACATCGATGATGTCGTTATCCAGATGCTTTTGCAACAATCTGATCAAAGAGAACATGTCATTCTTCTTTTCCATGAAATTCTCCATGTGACCTATGCTTTCCTGAAAATATTAATAATAATAGTGACCTTGATCATTTAATCTCCCGTGATTTCTATCTGTCAAAACGTTCAATTATCATTTATAATCTCCCTAGAGCATGAATTATTGCCGGAATTTTTTTTAATATGATTTTTTTCAAAATTATCACGAGTCGTGATTCCGCAATTAAATCAAGCACGTGAGGGATTCGTAATAAAATCTTATAATTCAATTATATTCAAAAAGAAAACATTGAGTAAATATTTATTCGCACGTCATCCAGAAATACATAGACTCGTACATAGATTTATATGGGTATTTTGATGGTTTCCAGGATGATTTAAAAATACAATTGGACGCGTTAGGTGGCGCTATTGTCGGTATCTTAACAACAATCAATTCACACCTACAAATGCAGTCCTTGTGAAGACACAAAACACTTCAAATTTAACGATATTTCTGCATAACCAAACTATCTCCGTTATGAAGACTTTAAGACCTCTCAAATATGGTATTTTCAGAACCACCTTGGTGACCCCTATCTACCATTGAAATATTTCCCTTTACCTGTGAAACACCCTGTATAAATCAATGTTGTATCATCCGCAAATAATTTTAGCTTTCTTTTCAATTTCAGAGTTGATATTGAATTAATATAAATTAAAAATAAAATTGGTCCCAGAACTGATCCTTGCGGTACTCCACATGTAATATTCTTTAGTGAGCCAGAAGTATCATTCACTTCAACATCAGGATTATCACATTGAGTTCAATGCTTGCCTCTTGGTTTTCCTTTTTCGCTTGTTCCACGGTTTTCGTGAAGTTATCCATCTCGTCCGATCGAATTTTGTAGTGTTTCTGACCAACATCAAATATCTGCTTGCACAAGTCGATGAATTGCTCTTCGTACTCTACGTAAAATTCTTGAACTTCGTCACCCATCTCCATAAGAGCCTTGCCTTGAAAAATTATTGCTATCAGAAATCAACGATCCGATTCGGTTCACTTCACCGGCGGGTTCTTCGACCAAAAATTGGTAGAAAAGTTGCAATGAACAAGAGTCGAAAAATGTTTCCTAAGGGAGCTACTGCCTCTAAGAGGGGGCTCCTGAAGATTATACAGTGTGTTACAATTTGGTCCACCACACCCCCGTGCTTTCCTTATTCCTAGAGCGATTTGAAATTTTTTTTTGCTCATAATATACTACTCCAGTGCACAGCTTCGCGGATGATAGTCCCTTCCATACACCATTCTCTTCCAGGGCTTCAATACCAGCCAGGCAAATCAGAAACGAACGAGGAAGAAATGTTGACAACATAAATATGGACGCAACAATTCTCGAATGGGGATAGAATAACTTGGTAGAATTCAATGCAAACAAAACACAAGCTTCCCTTTTCTCTAGAAAAGCCGATCTCACTGTGCCCAACATGAGCTTGTCAGGAATAACCCTTCTTGGGAAAATCACGTGAGATCAATTTCTAAAAGTGCATCCCAAAAACTTGGTTTTCTGTTTCGGGCCAGGAGCTATTTCACTTCCAGTCAGCTGCTTATGATCTATAAGGCACAGATCTGACCTGTCCTGGAAAACTGTTCCCATATTTGGAGTGCAGCACCCAGACAGACCCTGAAACTGTTGGATTCTGTCCAAAAAAGGACAATTCGTCTCGTGGGTGATGCCTCGCTCACAAACTCACTCACTTCTCTGGAACAATGTAAAGAAGTTGGCGATCTGGCTCTATTTTATAGATTTTTTCATGGACGATGCTCTTCTGAAATATCAACAATTGTTCCCCCCTTGGGTTCATCCAACGAACAGCGAGGCTCTAGAACACATTACCAAGGAAGGTGTACCATGAGGCATATAACCTCCAAAAATTTTGAAGAACATCAATTCCTACCTTATTTCCCTTGGTTCTCACGATGTTCTCTGAACATTACAGGATATCCCTTTTCGTGGGAACCAGAACATAAAAAAAAACTCAAAATTATCCACTTTGTCGAGCGAAAAATAATTATCAGACACAATGTCTTGGCCTACTGCGATCATAAAAATTTCAGCGAAATCAAAGAAAACGGATTAGGTATTTTTTTTACAAAAATTTTGATATTGGCAATCGATTCGGACTAGTCACAAATACTCCTATATCAGTTAGAGAAATGGTTTTGTATACTTAGTATAATAATCAATATTAATGAGTAAGACTCAGGCAATAGTATACAATTTATTCAGAGTTTCAAAACAATATCCCATAAGGGGAGTTTTTTTCAACGTTACAATTTTTGGATAATTGCATTTTTCAAGTCTCCGTGTATAATAATTCTTTTGTGAATTTCGATGATTCCAGGCGTGAAGGTAGTCAGGATTAGATTATCTGTCTACAGAGTGAAAAAAATAACGAATAAAATCACTATAAATTAGAATTTTCTATAAAGAAATGAAAAGAAGAAAAAAAAAACAAAATAATACCAATAACAAAATAACATAAAAAAAATTGAAAGAAGAAACTGAAACAGCATCCATTCCTAACAAATGCAGATTTTTGTATTCTCCATCAAATCTCCTTCATCCTCATATCTCTTTCGCACGTTATTTTCAACTCCCCTCAATTCTCCTGGTGGTATCTCTCTGTAAACTGTTATTATTCTATGTCGCAACTCTCCCCTATTTCTTGGCCTGAATTTCTCACTCGGTAGCCAGATGATCTAATCCTGACTCATGTCTGGTATTATTCAAATTCTTGACAGAATTACTGTACACGGTGACTTGAAAAATTCACTTATTCAAGAATTGTAACGTTGATAATGAACACCCCTTATGAGAAATTCTTTTGGAAATGTATATGGGAGTATTTGTAGCTAGTCCGAATCGATTGCCATCATCAAAATCCTATTCCATTTTCTTTAATTTTTCTGGAAATTTTGTGATCGCAGTTGGCTAAAAAATTGTGATTGATATTTTTTTTTTGTTCGACAAAGTAGATAATTTTGAGTAGTATATTATGAGAGGAACACATTATTGAATCTTCCTAGGAATACCAAAGTACAGGGGTGGGGTGAAGCAAATTGTATTACACTCTATTTCTTGATTATTTTCGAAACGTCATGTGATAAAATGATGCTATTTGGTACAGGGTGATTCACCATAAATGTCCCCCCCTCTAGCTCACTTATTTTTGAACCGTTTTAAAAATTTGAGAGATGATCTAAAATGATTTCTCAGAATTTTTTTTCCCGTTGCATCAGAAAATACAGGGTGCTCGGAACAAACGATCTACAGAGTACTAATTTATTTTTTAAATGGAACGCCCTGTATTTTATTGTATTTTTAGATTCTTCCTGAAGAGCTGATTTCATCAATGTATCACACTTGGGGTCTAGCGGGAATGATTACAGAGATATAGGGTGTTCAAAATCGAGACTTTTCAACTTTAGGATTTTTTTGTGCCGAAACTATTCATTATTGGTCAAAACGGCTTTTATGTTCCCATCTCAACTATTGATTTACTATCTAGTGACATTTAATTGGAACATTTACAGGGTGGTTCAAGATTCAGAATTCTGGTCACCCTGTATCTGTTACAATTATTAAATGTCAGTAGATAGTAAATCAAAAGTTGAGAAACGAACATGAAAACCGTTTCGACCGATAATGAATAGTTTCGTCACAAAAGAATCCTAAAGTTGAAAAATCTTGATTTTGAACACCCTATATCTCTGTAATCAGTCCCGCTAGACCCCAAGTGTAATACATTGATCAAATCAGCTCTCCAGGGAGAATCTAAAAATACAATGGAAAATAGGGTGTTCCATTCAAAAAAATCAAATAGTACCCTGTAGATCGTTTGTTCCGAGCACCCTGTATTTTCTGATCTAGCGGAAAAAAACTTTATCGAAAATCATTCAAGATGATATTTCAAATTTTGAAATTGGTTCAAAAATAACTGAGCCAGAGGGGGAAACATTTATGGTGAATCACCCTGTACAATATCTGAATTTTCTATTCCCGAAGCAGTGAAGATATCACCATTCCAAAATTCCATTCAGGAGTGTATAATTCAGGGTGGGACTACATCAAATATTGCTCAATCATTTTTGTGTCCATATTTTTCAACAAGTTTAACTACTTAGAAAAAACCACAGCTCTTTACAGAAAAAAGATGCTCTCCTTCCGTATCGATCATCAGATGTATCATTTTCATTGGCAGGTACAGATATAATTTTCAGAGAGGGTCTAAGAGTAAAGATGCCAAAGATATAGAAATGAAATTTCAACGCATCGATAATTATTATCAACATTTTTCATAGTACATATGTTATCGATAATATCGATATTATCGATGACATTTTTGCTATATCTGTAGACTTGGCTCGCACGGATTATTTGTTGCATCCTGTCGATAGAAGCTAGTATCAGGTTTCATCAGTCATGACTAAATTGAGTCAAAATTGTTTTGAACTATAACCTATAGAATTTCATGGCTCATGAAAGGAATACTTTGTATTCAGTCCAGTGCTAATTATTATTTATTCAATCATCATACATTCCTCTACGAGTAAGATAATTAACGCAATTGAGTCCTCACTCTTTATTTTTTGTTTTGACAGTTCAATATCAATTATTATAGAGGACGATGCAGTGTTGTCAATATAATACCGAATGATTGGCTAGAATAACGGATGCTATTGGTTGAAACAACGAAAATGTCACATTTTTAGATGTGAAAAAAATTATCTAAAAATAAATAAATGAATACCGGCACTTTCTTGCTTATATGACAAGATAATTGAAAAATTCAAAAACTGCATTGAATGGCATGCATTGAAGTACCTTCCTCATGACATATATAAAAATCTATTACATTTGACAGTTCTCTGGCAGCTATATCCCACTTTTTATTTTCAAATCGCACCCCCTATATTATTATATTGTCATCGAAAATTGCGTGCCACCCTATAATGTATACAACGATAGCATATACTCAGTACTTTCTCATTATTGTAGCAAAAACAGCAACATTTAATGAAGTATGAATTTCAACCGGAATAGCTTTTATGCGCCATCGCTGTGTTACAAATTTAGTGACACGTAATTTCTAATGACAATATACAGGGGATGCAATTTGAAAAGAAAATGTGGGGGGTAGCTGCCAGAGAACTGTCAAATATAATGGATTTTTTTACATGTCATCAGGAAGGTACTTCATTGTCATTCAATGAAGTTTTTGAATTTTTCAACTATCTTGTCAAATTAGCGAGATATTGCCTGTATTCGATAACTTGGAACAACCGGTATTATCTATATTATCGATAGTAATGAAATTATCGATATTTTCGATTAATTTGTATTATACATAAATCTATATTTTCGATATCATCGATAACTGGATAATTTTTTCATCTGAATTATTATCGATATTATCGACAATTATAGATATATCGATTAACCTGCCCACCCCTATTCTTAACTATTACTTCAGTCTTTTGAATTCTCTTACCTTCCTCGTCGTCTTCAAATAGCAAGTCGAAAAGATATCGAGAATTCAGGTACTCGACGAAACTAACCGAATGCAATTCCGCATCTGCTTTTGCCTTCTCAATATTAGCAGTTTTCGCATCTTCCAGTTCTTCCACCAATTCTATGGCACGTAATTTATTTAGGAACATATTCGTTCCTGTAAGTGAAAGAAAAATTTGAAATTATTGATTTCGTATTTGTAATCAGCACATTGTTTTTTGTGGCCAGGAAAATTTTGATTCCAACTTCTTAATATCTTTTTTAAAGGAAACCAATGATATCAAAGGATGAAGCTGATGTGAATAAATACTTTTATAATTTTCACCAGTTATAGGTTATTTTCGGAATCAATAATGTTCAGTATTATTTTCTTCTTGAAATTCAGTAAGTTATGCTACAGCTAATAATCATGTTTTATCATATTCACTATCTTTGAATACAGGCGTTATACAAAATTCAATCAGTTGAGACTGTGCACATCGGTATAGAAGTATTAACCAGCCCTCAAATAAACATAAAAGATTGTACATTTCAATAGAACTCAATCAATGGGGTGAAGTATTTGAAAATTACTACATACAAGGAAGTCAAAAAACTGAAAGCATGCTTAATTGAATAAAATTAATGAACCAAAAGTTGAGATGTATTTCACTGAAACAAGAATAGAAGACTAAAACGTCAATGTTAATAATGTCTTTCGTGGTCAAGTCACTGAATAGCAAAACATTTCAAGGTTATCTCTCATGCAGTAATAAATTTTGCGCCATAGTAGTGCCCCCTGATGTTTGGTTAGATATTCATATTCATTTCATTATCTCAATTATTCGAGACCCAAAAAACGTATTCTATCTATCAATATCTACGGTAGGTGTAGGTACCGACGTATAGAGATCCATGTCTGGGAAAAACCCGAAGACAAACTTACATTCAAAATTATAATATTAGTATACTTATGAGATCAATAGATTCTGCCCTCAGAAAGTTCAATGAATTCTAATAAACCATTGGAATATTCGAAAATAGAAACAGAAATAATAATTGAAGTTATGTGATAATTCGTAATTCGTCGTAGTTCGATTCGAATAGTTGTTATTTTCGAATAATACTCAATTGATTATTGGGACTCGGATTCATTGACCTTCGTGATAATCATCAGATTTGTTCGCAATTACTTTTTGATTGTGATTTGATCATTTGATGAAGACTCAACTCGAAACTGAATACGTAATAATCATAAATTATTTAAAAACTAAAAAATGGCGAATGCGCTTCACTTTTAAAGCGGTCTTGCCAATAATACCAAAAAGTTCTCTTCAAATTGGCGAAAGCGCAATAGATATAATATGCAGTAACCAGTATCCTTTTCCTCCGGCGTGCCAAGTTTCATAATGTCAAGAAAATCGCATTTCTAATAACTAAGATATTAGGGAGTATTCATGAATAGCGGGACACACTGTGAATCCTTTCATTCACGAACGCATCATTATAACGTATTATCAGAGACCGTACATATTTTCAGGATACTACCGATGAAGAAAATCGATAGAACTTTTTCTAGCACGACAAAAGACTTCAATAAATTCTCCAATTCTTTTTTTATCAACCAATTACATTCCTATAATAATTGGAAATTGGTTATAATTATCACAGTTATGTTGATCAAACATTTATTATGGAAGAATAAGTAAATGATGGTGAAAAAAAAAGAATTATCAACAAATTCTTTCGAAAACAAAATGGCGAACAAGTTTTTCTCGTTGATGATACTATCCTTTCTCCATAAAATGAAGTCGACACCCATTACGGTCCTGGTCCGAGACGCTCGTGGCTTTCAGGGCGATTAGTAGAATTCGCGAACCAAGTAGGAAAGTCGACATCTCCAACATTAACATAATATCGATTATAATATCTCGATCATTAATCGCCCTCATTAATACACTAGTTGGTTAATGGTACATCATGTAATAAGTGTTATAAACGTCATTTTGGTAACGAGTATTTTAAACACGAGTGCAGAGCGGAGCGAGTCTTTAATAAACGAGTGTCTGGAAATAATATATTATGTAACAAGTGTCATAAACGTCCTTTTAGTAACGAGTATTTCAAGCGCGAACGGAGCAGAGCGGAGCGGAGCGAGTATTCAATAAACGAGTGTCTTGAAGAGTTTATAAACGCGTTACATACTATGCTTTTTCTACGAACTCCGAAAATTACATTAACATACCTATTCCTACTAACCTATAAAATAATTCGAAAGGAATGGAAATTGAGAACATTATGAATACATGCAACTGCATGCAACCAGCGAGACACGTATAAGTGATATCGGTTGTAGATGTGTCGTCCAGTCCATTGCTTACTTACCTTTGTTTCACGTTTATTGTCATGGTTAGCGCAGAATAAATAAATTGTTCTCATAGATGGATGCTCCATTTTTACACTACTTCTATAGGAGAAATGCAAGTACCAGAACATTCTCTTCAATTTCACTTTCGTCTACGATTCGAATATATTTTTAATGAAGAATTCTGATACAAACGAATATTGTTGAATAATTCTGATACAAAATTCGAAAATAACAGTTGACAGTTAATACAATTGTCAGGCCAGACATGTCTCAAATTACTGAAGCTGTATTTAATGAACTGTGTTGCCATGGTGATGTGTTTGATAAATTGTGTTGCCATGGTAACGTGTTTAATATTTTGAATAAATCACAGATCGACAATCCGTGATTAATCGATCATTTAGCGTGGTACATATCTGTACGCTAAATGCCATTTTAGTAATGTGAGTAGGAAAAATATAGCTTTGATGTTATCTATTCATACCTTCATCTCTTTCGGATTCCTCAATTCTCTTGTACTCGTAATAAACGACTTTCGGCAGAAAAGCAGCGATGAAAATCCGAAAGTTGTTATCTCGAGCACACGGATTATGCGCCATATTCAGAGACGTCAGCATTTTGAATCTTCTCAAGTAGTAGACGTTTTCAGGGTCTTCGATTTCGTTCCTGCCGATACTGAAAATCATCAACTTCTTCAGCGTGTCCATGTTTTCTATCTTCACTATGAGGTTCGAATAGAAACTCAGTTTCTCCAAATTGACGAGCTTGTCCAGGTTGGCTATCTTGTTGATCTTGTTGAAAGACAGGTCCAATTCTCTCAGATGTACGAGGGTGTCCAAGTTTTCGATATTTTCGATGAAATTGTTGTTCAGCTGTAGCTTGGTCAGCGATTTCATCACCCACAGGTGGTCGATTTTCAAGATGTTCATGAATTCCATGCGAATTTCCTGAAGTTCGTCCATCGGTATGCCATCCTTCCTCATCAACCGTCCGATTTCACCTTGAAAATTGTTTGAGTTTCAAGCAGGGTGGTCAATAGTGAAAAATTGTTGATTCAACAGGATGGTTCATCCCCTATATGGCACAGATTTGACGTAATGTCGATTACAAGACCCTCACTGATTGGTGCAAGTCAGGGAAAACAAGTCAATGATCGATAATGACAGATCTCTAAAGGTCGTAACCACGCCATGACACAATGCGAAAATATAAGGAACAAAGAATAAAGAATGAAAATTCAGAACAGGAAACAATAAGGAATAATAATACATTTGGTTATATCTTGGTAAACACAATATAATTCATGAGGAATATGGAATGAAGAATTAAATAGTAGACTGTTTCTCGAGCACGGAATGATAGTTACTCGGATAGTCATTTCCCACGAGAATGAAGTTTTCATCATACGAGTGAAAAATTAGCATTACCTGCGAGTAATACATTATACATTGTCTACGGCTGTAACAGAGATCACTCCAATATACGTAACAGAACCATTTTAACATTTCAGATTCGCAATAGTCCTATAATTTGTTACCAATTCAGTACTGATTTATTACCATATTCGCAAATTTGCAACCCTTCTTTCATCAGAAAAAACCAACGGCTCTGCCTAGCTTTATGTCAACCTAGCAGAACCATAGCTGAAAATTGATTTTTTTCAAAATTTCAAATATATCAGAATAATTACCAACTTTCAACTATAATCACTAATTTTTTACTCATGATTCGACGAAAAAAAAAACGCCGATTTGTCAATCTCGATCTCAATCTAGCAGAACCAAAACTCTAATCACATGTTATTCGAAATTCTATATTAAGTCATCAATAAGTTACTAGTTTATTACTAATTTATTACCACATTCGCAAATTTGCAACCCTTTCTTCAGTTTCTTCCGAAAACACCAACGGCTCTGCTAGCTTTATGTCAACCTAGCAGAACCATATCTAAAATTAATTTTCTTTGAGAATCTTGAATATACCATTGTTTATTACTATTCAATTACTTATAACTATAATCACGAATTTTTTACTCATCATTCGACGGAAACAGACGCCGACTTGTCAATCTCGATCTAGCACAACCAAAATTCTAATCACATGTTATTTGAAATTTAATTGAGTCATCAATAAGATACTTGTTTATTACCAATTCATTACCAGATTTGCAGCCCTTCTTTCATCAGAAAAAACCAACGGCTCTGCTAGCTTTATGTCAACCCAGCAGAACCTGCTAGGTTGAGATCGATATTGACAAATCGGCGTTTTTTTTTCATCGAATGATAAGTAAAAATTCGTGATTATAGTTATAAGTAATTGAATAGTAATAAATAATGGTATATTCGAAATTAATTTTAGATATGGATCTGCTATGTTGAAATAAAGCTAGCAGAGCCGTTGGTTTTTTCGGAAGAAACTGAGTTATCAAATTATGGTATATTTGAAATTTGAAAAAAAAAATATTTTCAGCTATGGTTCTGCTAGGTTGACATGTCGACGAAATAATATAGTGTGTATTGTTGACATTTTTACTCAAATAGCAGTATCATCGTGATCAGCTTCTATTGCAGAAGTGGCAGAAGGAATTTTAATGAGAAATGATGAAATTTCATAATGAAAACTATGTGAGATCACCATTGATCGGAAAATTCACATTCCTTCGTTTCTCGCTGCATTTTTTGTGCATTGTACAACAGCACAATGTGATGACATGCTAGAATTAATGAATAGCCCAAAAAACACGATTCGTATGCCAAAATATTCAATCCCTTGAGTCCTTTGTGAACAAATAAGGAAAATGAGGTTGTGTTCTACAAAAATGTGAGGTTGTGTGCACGCGGCCTATGGGTTGCGTGCAAGAACTGTCAGATGACCGACACTGGAGGCAAAATATTGAAGCACAAACGTCACTTTACTTATTTGTTTACAAGTGATTGAAATAGTTTTTCACAATTATTTTGGCATACGAATCGTATTTTTCCGCTATTCATCAATTCGCTCATGCCATCACATTATGCTGTTGTGAAATGCACAAAAACTGCAGCGGAAGACGAAGTAATCCGGTTGGTACAATATGATTCAAAAGTAAGTACCTATACTATAGTCACTCACATATAGTTTTCATTTTTGAAATTTGGTAATTTCTCTGATTTCTCATCGGAATTCTTTCTACGATAGAAGCTAATAGAAATACATCTGAAATTTCTAAAATAATGCCAGAAAATTGGATTCATGCAATCAATCGGGAGGACTGGTCTGACATGCTGACGATCGTGTGTGTTGTAGACATTTTCAATCTATTAGTAGTATTAGCTTGTATTGCAGAAGTGACAGAAGGCAGAAGGAATTCTAATAAGGAATGACAACATTTCATAATGATAACTATGTGAGATCACTATTTACCTGAAAAATCATATTCTTTAGTCTCTTGCTGCATTTTTTGTGCATTGTACAACAGCACAATGCGAAGGCATGCTCGAATTAATGAATAGCGCAAAAAACACGATTCGTATGCCAAAATATTGTGAAAAACTAGTTCAATCCTTTGATTCCTCTGTAACCAAGTAAAAAAGTGAGGTTGTGTTTCAATAATTCACAGAAGAATGAGGTTGTGTTTCAATATTTTGCCTCCAGGGTCGGTCATCGTGCACGCGACCTATAGTTCAAACTGAAAAATCCGATGCATGGCATTATGGCAGCCTGACCATCATAACCATCTGACAACCGCGACTAGTAATGAAAATTCCTGATTAAGTAATAAGTTGTTTATGAATTCATTAATTTCTTTCCAATCAATGTTTTCAGTTTGTTTGACAAAAATTGCATGTTTCGTCTGACTGCCATCGAAAAATATCTTCATTTTCATGAATCTCTGTATAATTTCTACAGGTATACAAAAGTTGCAATTGTGAATAAATGCTAATTTACAAAAATACAGTTTTTCTAGGATGGCCGTTCAGACGCGTCCTAGTTCCGTTATGTTATGCTTCAAGATTTTTGAAAGAAATTTGAACTAACTTTTTTGTTAATTTTGAAGTAAATTAATTCAAAAAAGTCCTAATTTATTCCAAAGTCGAACTTTTTTAACTTTTTTATAAAAATCATGACTCATTCCAACCCTGAACTAGAGTAATATCTGAAAATGTTTTCATTGATGCCCTCTTTTGCTTATTCAAATAACGCCTACCGCGTGTTTGATTTCAACATTAATAAAGTGCTTTCGTGGACAAATTGGATTAGTTTTGCTAAACATGAATTTATTCAGTAGGTTCTTTACGAAAGCACTGTACAATCATGAAAATATAGAGATCATATACCATATCAATAATTTCAATCGTTCATTTACTCAAACGAAAATCTGATAAACCTCTAAGAATTTCTGGAATGATTATACCTCAATTTTTTTTTGTTCGGGCATACAGAAGATGACTTATTATTTTTTTTTAAAGAAGTTAATGTAAACAATTCAATTTTTTATATTTTCCTAATGGATGATATTTCAATCTGAATAGTGAGTGAGGGAAATTCATTAAACTATTTATAGAAGCCAGCATGCTAGGAAATAATAAAGTTTCAAGCCAATAAATCAGAAAACTCCTCAGAGAAGAGTATACATAATATGCAACGAACCTTCTGAATCTTTCACAAGGAGGAAATAAGTTTACTTCATGAAAGTTTGAATGCAAAAGAAACTTCCTGTAGTAGATGTAATATCTGGTATAGAAAGTTTGATAAGTGGTTTGGATGTAGCAACAGAAAACTTTATTATTTCGAACGCTGTTGAGCTTCAGAAAAAAGATTTCAGGTGCAACATGTCGAAAATGTGGTCTTACAAAGAGTGATGATGTATTCTTTCGACAAGCAAAAGTTTTTGGTATTTGAAATGAATATGAGATTCAAATCTGTCAGGATTATTAGAACCGATAATTCAGAGCAAACGACCTCAACTTTGAAATTCCAAATGGAACACCCAGTATATTTTATATTTCTGAATTGTGTAGGCGAGACCACCCATTGTGATTAGAGTGCCTCGAACATCTCATTACGCGCCCTTTCAAGAGTGTGGACACGCTTGTCATCACTCACATTTCCGAACTGTCATCATTTTCAGATTTGAAACGTCATTTCGGAAAATTGAATAGGCGCCCATGCGAAAATGTTTTCCAATATTCATTTCACTTGATTATTTGGGATTTTCTCTCCTCGTTTCTACAAAAGAAAAATATGAGTATTATTTCAATATAATTATTTGTATAGGAGTCATCAGATGATTCGCCCCAAAATGTCATTGCGTTGAAAAAAATTCTGTCAGGAAGCCTAAAAGAAAAATCCGATAGCTTTCCAGTGACACTTTGTTTGGAAAAATATTCGAAGAGAAGAAATTAGATATATTGGAAAAATATCGAATTTCTACTCAACTTTGAACGTTTCGAGAACGAATCTGCTACCGTTCTCAACGTAAAAATGTGAAATATTATTCTTCGAGAATTCGATATTTTTTCCTGGTTGAGTTCATTCTATTGATGTGAAATTTCAGAAAATTCCCGAATCAATACTGAATTTGGTTCAACAAAACAATTTGTCGAATTGGAATACATTTTCTCTTGAATCAACGAAACATTTCATTGGATCAACAAAATATTCCAATGAATCAACCAAATATTCCATCGAATCAACCAAACAGTTCATTGAATAAACTGAATATTATATGATTGAATCAATATCATTTCATGATATTGATTCAAACAAAGTGATTGTTGAAGCCAATTCAATATTTCTTCATTCATGGATGTGCTTGATTGAATACGATCCAGAGTTCATGCAAGATATATTTACTCGATTTAAAGTTCAAATTCGCTCTGAATCAAGATATATATTTACTCATTTTATGTTTATATTTTGTCGTGCATATATAACACTCATATTTGCTTTATTCAATTAGATTTTGATTGATTCAGCAATTCCTTTTTTCTGTGTAAGAAGAAAGGATTATTTCATGACATTTCAACATACTGATGTGTAGAGATGAGAAAGCATTTACGGACCAATATTCATAGGGCATTTTCTTTTGTACAAAATATTTTCACGTTATGGAAATACTGATTACAGTACCTTGCTAAATACACCGAACGGTGAGTTATGATTCGAGACCCCTGGTTTTTTAATACAACTTCACCCACGCGCCCCCCACCCTTTCGTTCACGATTTTTGGTAATTTTGCACTTATCATGCGATGGTTTTTTTTTCGAAAATTTTTTTTGGTACTCACGTATTTTTGTCTGAAAACACGAATTTGATAATGAAAATGTGAACAAACCACTATTTTTATAAGAAAAAATAATGAAAGTCTCAAAGTCTGTCGACAAGTGGAATTATTATCATTTATACATTTTTGAATTTCTAGAATTTCCAATAGGTTAAACCTAGAGCCTTTATTACAAATGTGGAGAAACTCCATATTTTCAGATATATTGAAATTATGATTGGATTCAATTATATGGTTTGAGAAAGAGGAACTATACCAATCTCTTGTTCCCATTGTCTCAAAAATTTATTTGGTTTGTCAATGGTCATTAGTTTTGTCATATTTGACTTTTGACTGGTGTCACTTGTCATTGTCATGATTCTGGTCATCATGTATATAAATTTTATTTGTATGTCATGTGTTATTGACATTGACTTGTGTCACTTGCTCTTTGTCATGTTTCACGTTTCATATGATTTTGATGTTTCTGATTCTTAGAATTCTGTCTTAGCTTCCATTTGCATTTTGCATAATCTGATGAATCTCACGTGAGAGAATTTTTTGAAACTTTTCGATTCCCGATGTACCTCTTCATTAATATTATGTTGATCTGGTTCTACTGGACTTTTTCTAGATTCAAAACTAAAACTATTCATATTCAGGACTGATAATTGTTTTTCGACCTTTGGCTTCTGATAATGTTATAAACATTTTGTGCTTCTGATAAGTATCACTGAGGTTAAGTATACCAGATTTTTTTACTCTCTTTTTGACTCCTTAATCATGTTCTTTCTATCTTTTAGGTACTTTAATACATCAATTTTGTGTCTGATGATGGCCTGTGGCCGAAACTAGTTACACTACTATTAATAAAAAAAAATTTTTCGTGGTCGACAGACTTTGAGACTTTCATTGTTTTTTCTTATAAAAATCAATTGGACCACTTCGAGAAATATGGATGATTTCCATGATTTGAACCACTATTTATCGAGATATTCCACTATAAAGTTACAAATTTCGCCTTCTTTTCCGCATGTCTCCTGGATCGCATTAAGAACAATTTGCCCTTTTATTTCCATCATTGGACAATTTATATATATCACACAATGTTAGACACATTTTTTTTTGTATGAATCAACTAGAAATATGATTTTCTTGTGATTTATCCATGTTTAGTGAAAAGAAGGAAGAATATCATTTGAAATAATGGCGTGTGTTATGTCATTCCAAAGCAATCTATTGACATTTGACATCTCGTATTTGGATTGCCTATGGATTAAACGGCCGTCATCTGGTATGCTTGCTCACTGAATAGGAAAAACTCGCCATAAAAATCATATTTCCTGTTGAATTTTCTATCTTAAAATGTGTCATTGAAGTACATCATGAGTATATAAAGTGTCCAATGACAAAATAAAAAGAGCAAGTACCTGTAAATGCATCCAACACAAGGGGGAAAAGAAGGCAAAATTTCGAACTTTTTCTTGAAATATCTGTATCTATAAATAGTGATTTGCTCACATTTTCATTATCAAATTCGTGTTTTTCAGACAAAAATACGTAAGTACCAAAAAAAATTTTCGAAAAAAAAAAACCATCGCATGATAAGTGCAAAATTACCCGATTTTTATTCGGCTACCTCATATATCTGAGTGTGAACAAATGAGACACAAAAAACACAATGTGGGCTCCCGGTCTAATGTTTTTCCGAAGTTTTAAAACCAAGGTTGGTAGAACTGATGACTATTTTGTAGAGGAAGATTGCCTCGATCGCACCCCGCGAGTGACCTTGAGTAACCCATGACGTAATAGGCCCTTTCTTTTGCACGAAAAGTGTAGCATGATATGTACGCCAGCGATTGGCCGGCGCATGTAGAGCTGACAGTTGTCAGTATTTTCGAATATTTGAACCATTTTGAACTTAAAAATGTAAAAATGATAATTTGTTCGGTCACTTCTTGTTAAAATTCGTACAAGTGTAATGAGACTAGTGAATTTAGTTTGTGTTTCCATTAATTTCCATAAGATGAGTCTATTCGTGAGAAATGGATTTAATTTTGTGGACGTAATTTTAATTCATTTAATACCAAAACTTGGCGAATATGTTCTGCCCATTTCGATGCCGAGGATTTTGAACGGCACAAGCAGAATTGCTAAATCACACACCAAAGAGAAGAAAACTCATGGTAGGAATCCCATCATTAATACCTACCAAATACAACAAGAGAAACACCATAAGTATGGAAGTTTGGAAAAATGATCAGAACCAGACCAGTTGTGAATGTTGAGATTCTTGCTGAACGGGTAAAATGGACATCAGAAGATATCACACGTGTTTTCAAGTTGAGATATTTGAGCAAGAGTACGTTACCCAACGAAGAGGAGCTATGTTTATTTGAGAGATTCCTTGAACTATCCTTTATTATAGGTTCACTTATAATAGTAGTGTTATTTTTCATTAATTTTGTTCAGAATCATATTTTGTTATTTTTTTATGCTCAAATACTTCGATCAATTGCTCTGTTTTTGACTACAATATAATCAAACAATGAAATACTATTTCCTCTTGTATTTTCTATAGGTATCTAGGAAAGTTTGTTAATTTTTCAGAATACAGTTATATTGATAAAATAAGTGAATAAGTGTGTATGAATATTGGTCCACTGCTACTACTTCTGGATCATCAGTTGATTATTCTTATATTTTCTGTAGTTTCTTGTTCACATTATCTGATTTGCAGGATATTTATAGGATGAGTAGGTTCATAATCAATGCATAAGAAATCACTAGCTCCATAATTATGCTCCATACCTCAAAACACACATACCTGGTACCACGACCTGGTAAATAGCCCCTGGAACAAACCTTCAGATAGGTATTCCTCTCTGTACTACTGATCCATCCAAAATTGCCTTCTCATTTTGAAGATTGAAGGTATTATACAGAAGTATATGTAAATATCCATATTTTATAATGGTACTTACTTATAATTATATACTATAAATTAATATAAATATGCTGAGCAGACCAAAAAGTTTGTATCTATTTGGTAAACATTTCATGACATGTCGCTTTAAGGTTGACAACTTGTCTTACTGCCTGTGACGTCACGAGTGACCGTTTCCCCCCTTGCCGCACTATCGATCGAGGCAACCTTCCTATACAAATTATAATCAGTTCTACCAACCTTGTTTAAAACTTATCGCAACGTCATCTATTGACCTTGAAAACCGCGAATACAGAAACGTCACAACAAAAATACAAATTCATTGAGATACTCAGATTTCACTAACCTTTGGGAAATTGATGTTCGAGACATTTTTCAATCAAAGCGTTGTCGATCACTCTCGGTTCTCGAGCTTTGCAAGGATCTGTGACGGCCATTTCATTCGAGAAATAGCTGTTTGTGTTAGATCGCGTATCAAAATCGGTGAACGATGTATACTAAGTGACGTTTGATCGATTGAATTTGCTGGTTATAGAGTTACTAGGACGACGAAACGTGAGGTAAATATTATTGAGGGCGTAATAGACTTGCCGTTACTGACTCTGACCCCTGATTTATAGTTTCAATAACGTAACGTAACGCAAGTACTTCCGTTACACGATAGAAGATAAAACATAAGATTTTTCCAGAACTTTTTGTATAAACATTCTATAATGTCGTTCCGGAAAACACTGGTCGTGGCTGCAACGCGAGAAATGTCCATATTAGCTGGAGAGCTCGTGAACCTTTTATATAACGGTTTGTCTGTAAGGCTAGAAAGGGCTCCGCACTAAACTATAGGGGAAATGGCTCTCGATGAAAATCGCTGAATTTTTGGTATGTTGCAGACTTTGATATACTGAACAGATATTCCATTGAACGAACCTCAAAAAATGGACAGTTTTTCCGATATAGACCTCCAAATGTAATTTTTTTGACAAAAAAAAGTATCTGAAAATGGTTGAATTTTTGGCATGTTGTAGATAGGAATGAACTGATGAAAAAATCAAATTGGCTATACCTCCAAAAATTGACAGTTTTCTCGATATTGACCTCCAAGTGTAATTTTTTCAAGTAAAAAAAACTCTGAAAATGGCTGAATTTCTGGTATGTTTTAGATAGGAATGAACTGATGAAAAAATCCAATTGACCTTACCTCAAAAAATTGACAGTTTTTTGATATTGACCTCCAAGTGTACGTATGGAAAATAAGATGAATGGAACAATAGTCAATAAACAAAGTTGCCGTTTTCGAATTAGTATTTGGCCTTTCATTCTTCTAAAAACAAATCTTCTTCATATGATACATGTACAGGTGAAGAAAACCAAAGAGGGGATGTAATTAAATAAATATTATTTCAAAGATGGTTATAGTCTTTCCGAAATCAATGGGGTTGTTTATTTTGATCATTCCATCTATTATAAAATTCGATACACCCCAATTATATTTTTTTAAATAATCAAAATAATCACCTCTCAGCAACACTATATAGCCGCCGATGACGTGACATTGACATACCGATACCGATAAGCACTGTTAGAATTTTATTGCTCAACAACCAATGAGAATATTTCCGAATTCTTCATAGAATTAAGGATTTATTTCCACAGTAGGAGTGGAGTGTTGTGTACTGAAGTATACACAATACATAAATCGTATCGTATAGTATAATTGCGATGGATTGATCGCGGTATATGACGTCATCACGCGTTGTCCCACATATTTCATGTTATGAAATATCGTGAATTTCAATAATTATTTACGATATGTAAAGAGATCTGAAGAGAAAACGGTCTGCGACAGTGAACAGAAACTGTCTATATTTTGAGGTTAGGTCAATTCGATTTTTTCATCAGTTCATTCCTATCTACAACATATACCAGAAATTCAGCCATTTTCAGAGATTTTTTTTCTTGAAAAAATTACATTTGGAGGTCAATATCGAGAAAACTGTCAGTTTTTGGAGTTTAGGTCTATTGGATTTTTTCATCAGTTCATTCCTATCTACAACATGCCAGGAAAATAGTTGTTTTCTGTTGAAAGAATTGATATTTTCATCACATAGAGAACGCCAATTCTCAATGTATTTCTTTATATGTATATCAATTTTTGTAATTTTTTTCTCATGCATGTTCATAATTTATCTGAGAATATTTCTTTTCGATGTTAGGTTATTGTTTGATTCACATTAGGACATGGTTATTGATATTATATAATTGTTCTACATACAATATTGATCAAGAAGTCCTAAGAAGCCTCATCGAGAATATTATTTCATTTTATATAAGTCACAGGTATTACAAATATAACAATACCATCAATTGAGGAGACTAGTTGGAAGAAGGAGAGTGCACGGATATTATATACGGATCATAAATATATCAGGTAACTTCAATTTATTCATCCATTGATAATGAAGTAATTGATGCAAACTGTTCTTCAGCGGAGATCATCTAAGATACCTAATTTGTTCCTTTTTGGGGTGGTAGGTATTAGAGCTGCGATTTGCGAAAGCTGTATAGTAGTGCCAAATATTCATAATCCCATCCATTGGTAGAATTGGAATAGCTTGAACAGATTGATCCTCGTGCTTTGAAACAATGTTAATTCCAAAAATGATGCTTGATAGTCCGAACAAAAATAATAATACAAATTAATAAGACAAGATTGGCGATTGAGGAAAATCTATAAATGCCAACTTTATTTCATCGTCTTACGGTACTTATTGCGAAACGTTGATTATAACGTTGAGGTGTGTTACGGTATCTATAAATCAGGGATGTTTCTTTGCAATGTATGTACAGGGGTTATCCATCGAGAAGACCCACACCTATATTTCCCTTACTTTTTTATCGAGAAAAAACAATTGATATGCGGAAGTCGAATGCCGCAATAAAGTCTCTCCACAGCCCTTATCCGAAGTTTTACAGTGTGATCCCTGAAAAAGCGTGACTAACCACATGCAAATTGATTAATTATCGTGGGAAATGACTATCATTCCATGTTAAACAATATGACAATCGACAAATGACAATTGATTATTTGTGATTAGTTAACCTAATTCAAGAAATTCAGGCCCACATGTTGGTTCATTTTGATATTTGCTTCATATCAAATTATTTTTGAAAAACAAGCTCTTATAGAGCTGTGATAATGTCTGTTCCCTAACAGTTATACTCGTACATTTAGATTTTTAATCAACACTTACTTAGAAACTAACATAAGCGTTATTCCTTCTCACAGATTTTCTTTTTATAAAGGACCCCGCACTTTCAGTACGTAAAATGGTTCTCGGTGAAATTTTCTGAATTTTCACTATGTTGTAGAATTCGATGAACTGATTGAACTTGCAGAATCGTAAAGTTCTTTGATGAACAGATTCTGAGATACAGGGCGTTGAAGTTACAAATCGGTATTTTTCATTTAATTATTTTCTCGAAATTCAAAGATGACAAGTACAATTTTCTTTGCTCATATCATTAACGAACCTCCATATTACTCAACATAATTCAGATGGTTCAGATGATGTAATTGTTTACAGAGTGAAACATATAAACATTTCAGTGATGTCTGAAAATTCGATGTTATAATGAAATATCGAAGAAATAATTTAGGCATACAATATACTATTCTCATTCCATCATGAATCACATTTCATACATTTCATACAGGGTGATTTGAAAAATTGGTGACACCTAAGACCGATTTATTCATACACATCCTGTATATTCGAGTGAATTGTTAACCTCCCAAGATATATAGGGTGATCATGAAGATTTTCGATGATGAAAATGACAAAAAATCGTGTTTTTTGAAATCACCCTGTTATTCATGATTAACTCGGTGAAATTCCCTAATTATTTTTTAATATATTCATCATTCGCTCCTCAACGCTGTCTTGAAAATTCAGTTTTCTATCATGACGGGTGTCATAGTTATTAATTCAGGAACTTACCATTTGCATGAAGAGTTGAAGAGACTTGTTTACTTACATTCGCATAGTGGCCGATATTCTTCACAAATAGTGGAACGTGAGAATGTGGAGACAAAAATAAGTTTAGTATTCATATACAGGGTGAACACTAGAAATTCAATAACAATAGCAGATATATGAATTTAATAATTAAATAATATTACTACTACCAAATTGTATCATACAAATACTATATAGTATCATCCTATTTTGTAGTGGTAATATTTGATGAATAGTGACTGGCTCCTATGTCATTATGTCCCATACAACACCTTTTCATATTTATCGCTGCTATTTCGGAAACATCTAGTATAATAGGATTATTTATATTACACCATCATACGTATCGAATTATATCATTGGAATGTGATATGAATATGAATCTAGTGATATTATAATAATTACTGATAGCAAGCAAATATGAAAATGATGGAAACGCCTGATTCTTAGTGGAAAACAAATGTGAAAAAATCTGTCGATTCCAGGATTCAACTCTCCCTGTTACAAATGGAAGCGTGAAAGACCGAATCATTCTCCCATCTCCTAGGTATTGTTCATTTTGGCAGAGCTTGTATACCAACGAAATTCGCCTAACTATCTGTACATTATATTAATATTATTAAATTCATATATCTGCTATTGTTATTGAATTTCTAATGTTCACCCTCTATATGAATACTAAACTTATTTTCGTCTCCACATTCTCACGTTTCACTATTTGTGAAAAATATCGGCCACTTTATGCGAATGTAAGTGAACAAGTCTCTTCAACTCTTCATGCAAATAGTAAGTTCCTGAATTAATAACTATGACACCCATCATGATAGGAAACTGAATTTTCAAGACAGCGTTGAGGAGCGAATGATGAATATATCAAAAAATAATTAGGGAATTTTACCGAGTTCATGATCACCCTATATATCTCAACGAAATCATGTTCATACGGTATCAGCTATCTTTGGAGATTAACAATTCACTCGAATATACTGGATGTGTATGAATAAATCGGTCTTAGGTGTCACCAATTTTTCAAATCACCCTGTATGAAATGTATGAATTGTGATTCATGATGGAATGAGAATAGTATATTGCATGCCTAAATTATTTTTTCGATATATCATTATAACATCGAATTTTCAGACATCACTGAAATGTTTATATGTTTCACTCTGTAAACAATTACATCATTGAACCATCTGAATTATGTTGAGTAATATGGAGGTTCGTTAATGATATGAGCGAAGAAAATTGCACTTGGCATCTTTGATTTTCGAGAAAATAATTAAATGAAAAATACCGATTTGTAACTTCAACGCCCTGTATCTCAGAATCTGTTCATCAAAGAACTCTACGATTCTGCAGGTTCAATCAGTTCATCGAATTCTACAACATATTGAAAATTCAGAAAATTTCACCGAGAACCATTTCACGTACTAAAAGTGCGGGGTCCTTTGCTGGTGATGAAAAATTATTCCTCCGAAACATGTCCGTATGTCCATGA